GGTCAGTGCCCGTGGAGGCTGGGTGGGGGTCTGGTGCCCGTGGAGGCTGGGTGGGGGCCTGGTGCCCGTGGAGACTGGGTGGGGGTCAGTGCCCGTGGAGGCTGGGTGGGGGTCTGGTGCCCGTGGAGGCTGGGTGGGGGCCTGGTGCCCGTGGAGACTGGGTGGGGGTCAGTGCCCGTGGAGGCTGGGTGGGGGTCTGGTGCCCGTGGAGGCTGGGTGGGGGCCTGGTGCCCGTGGAGACTGGGTGGGGGTCAGTGCCCGTGGAGGCTGGGTGGGGGTCTGGTGCCCGTGGAGGCTGGGTGGGGGCCTGGTGCCCGTGGAGACTGGGTGGGGGTCAGTGCCCGTGGAGGCTGGGTGGGGGTCTGGTGCCCGTGGAGGCTGGGTGGGGGCCTGGTGCCCGTGGAGACTGGGTGGGGGTCAGTGCCCGTGGAGGCTGGGTGGGGGTCTGGTGCCCGTGGAGGCTGGGTGGGGGCCTGGTGCCCGTGGAGACTGGGTGGGGGTCAGTGCCCGTGGAGGCTGGGTGGGGGTCTGGTGCCCGTGGAGGCTGGGTGGGGGCCTGGTGCCCGTGGAGACTGGGTGGGGGTCAGTGCCCGTGGAGGCTGGGTGGGGGTCTGGTGCCCGTGGAGGCTGGGTGGGGGCCTGGTGCCCGTGGAGACTGGGTGGGGGTCAGTGCCCGTGGAGGCTGGGTGGGGGTCTGGTGCCCGTGGAGGCTGGGTGGGGGCCTGGTGCCCGTGGAGACTGGGTGGGGGTCAGTGCCCGTGGAGGCTGGGTGGGGGTCTGGTGCCCGTGGAGGCTGGGTGGGGGCCTGGTGCCCGTGGAGACTGGGTGGGGGTCAGTGCCCGTGGAGGCTGGGTGGGGGTCTGGTGCCCGTGGAGGCTGGGTGGGGGCCTGGTGCCCGTGGAGACTGGGTGGGGGTCAGTGCCCGTGGAGGCTGGGTGGGGGTCTGGTGCCCGTGGAGGCTGGGTGGGGTCTGGTGCCCGTGGAGGCTGGGTGGGGGTCTGATGCCCTCTGAGGACCCCCCACCCCCGCCCTTTGTTCAGAGTCCTCTGAGATGCCACCATCCCAGGGCACCTCTGCACCCCCAGCAGCCCAGCAGGCCTGGCACAATGATGACTGCCGTCTGGGGGTCTGTCTGGCCCCCAGCCCTGTCCACCCTAATCTCCAGGGACATGGCCTCAGAGAGGAGGGTGCACCAGCCTCAGCACCCCTCGGCACTGCCAGGAACCTCAGCACCAGCCCCCCACAATGTGGACCTGCCCTGCAACCTGCCCACCGAGGCCCCCCCCCCAGCCCAGGAGCCGCAGGCAGAGGGGGTGGAGGTGCTGGGGGGCCTCTCGAGCTGACCGCCCATGAGCAGGGGGAGGCAGGGGCGAGGCAGCCTGGCTAGGCCCTGCCGGAGGCTCTGGATGGGCCTCACCTCGAGGCAGAAGGCTTCCCTCCCCCCTCCTGGCCACAGGCTGTGCGGCTTCCCTGGCACGCCTCCAGAGATGGGCACCCCACTCCCGCGGAAGCAGCTGGTTAGAAAGTTCCTCCTTGTTTGACCTGAGCCGTGCCCGGGCCCCACATCTGCTCCGCGGGGCAGCTCTTCTGTGTGGGTTGAGCACCTGCCCCGTGGTGTGGACACGGTCACCCAGCCCTGGAGGCTCGCGGAGCTCAGCCACTGCAGGGCCACCTGGCAGGAAGTCCAGCCCTGCCCTGCTGTCTGCCAGGCCTGCCACCACCCCTACCCCTGCCCCCTGGGTCTCCTGGCCACAGCCACAGGGGCACCAACCACCCAGAAGCCTGAGCTCCAGCAGCTTCACACCCCTG